GACACAGCATCAGCTATACCGCTGAAGCAGAAACAAAAAGAACTTTGACAATATTTCAGACACAACATCATCCCATTCATTCGCTAATAAGCATAATTAATTTGCCAAATTTATAAAATAAGCAAACAAGCGCAACTAAATTCAAACAAGGGCTCAAAATAACCAGCGAAGTTGTCTTCAGTAAGGAGAAACAAGCAGATAACAAGCAAGCAGCAACATACTGTATTAAACAAGAAGTCCAATAGAAATTAAGGTAACTGAAAAGCAAAACTAGAATCAAAAAGTTTTTCTGCAGACTAAGCATAACTGCAACAGCAAGACTCCGGTAAAATCCTTCTAAGCGTTTTGTGTCGCCTCCAAGAAAGCCCTCCCTGGCTGACGATTAGCAAGAGGTCCGTGGCATCCAAGCAGCTGCGAGAAAAAAGAGAAAAGCCATTTGATTTGATAAGCTACATAAATATGTAGAGATGAAAGAAAGGTAAATTGCAGGAAAAGTTTGAAGTTATGTAAGAGAACAAAACGAGAGTATAACAAACGAAAAATAACCCAACGTTACTTGGTATTCAAAGGGTAACAACACAATTTATCTTAAAAGTTAAAAACTTCGACTGATTGATTATTATATTCAAAATTTCAAATGGGTCTACAAAAGCCAAATAAGTCTACAAAAGCCAAATAATCTCAGAAAATGTAAACTTAGATTGAATTTTATATGAATGGTTACCTTGGCATTGACACCATCAGGAAGTATGCGGTTCTCGCTTCTCCAACGGACATAATCAGTGCGGTTGAACTTTGTGAAGCCCCTGAGGAGAAACCGCATGACATGAGAAACTAATTCATCAAACAGATATAAAGATAATATATCCTATTGACTATTCCGAGCAGCTTAAATATTAAGATTCTAATCACTATATGGGAACAGAATTGATACCGTAAAGGATTTGAAGGTCATATTTAGACCCCCCAAACCTCCATATTTGCTCAAAATGAGGGTTTTATTTAAATTAATTTAATAGGATTTGAAGAGTATAATTTAAAACAACTTAAGTAGATTTGAGGATCCTATTTAAAACAACTTAAGTAGATTTGAGGATCCTATTTAAAACACCTTAGTGGATTTGGTGGTCTTATTTGAAACAACTTAATGGATTTTGGGGTCTAATTTAGAAATATGAAGATTTGGGGTCTAATATAGAATTAACAAAACTTTGGGGGTCTAATATTACAAAAAACCTAATATAAAATGAATAAACAGTGCTAGTGTGTAATTTCAATCTTGATGGGTTTGCTGCTGAGATAGTATGCATATACAGAATAGAACCATCAACATATCCAAATCATACCTAACTACTTAGGTATGAAAATATACATACCACTTTGCGTCATTTCCTATTCAAGTGGAGAAGTACAAGAAAATAAACATACCACTTTCGGCTAACAATGATCTTCTGACGACCCGGAAACTTAAACTTAGCACGACGAAGAGCCTCCTGAGCATTGTTTCCGTTACTATCCTTGCAACGAACAGACAAAAGAACCTGACCGATGCTAACACGAGCACAAGTTCCTTGGGGCTTTCCAAAAGCACCCCTCATTCCAGTCTGAAGCCTATCAGCTCCAGCACACGAAAGCATCTTATTAATACGAAGAACATGAAAAGGGTGCACTCTCACTCTGAGATGGAACGCATCCTTTCCAGCAAACTTTGTCATGTACTTGTTGCAAGCGATACGAGCAGCTTCGAGAGCCTCGCTCGAGACATTCTCCTTTTCCCAACTGACAAGGTGGACACAGAAAGGAAATTCGTCGACTCCCTTCTTCTTCATTCCGACGTCATAGATACGGATTTTGGGGTCAGGAACACCACGGCAGTACCTTGACTTTGGGTACGGCTT